GTCCCTTTCAACCCAATAATGTAGTCTGGGATTAATTAAGTCGAATATGCTTAGACTTCTAGATAGATGTGGAGCATACTGGAACAAAGGTTCACGTTTTGTTTTAATGGATTTACAATAGTCAGGCATCAATCCTCTTCTACTAGCTGGTTCGAACTGGTAGCTGTTGGATATCCTGCCTAAAGAGCGGTCGATGAATGTTTTTTCTCTTGCAGCTGATTCACTTATGCATACCCACGACGTAACAGTCACCGTGAGGTCTTCTTATTTCTGCCTCTGGTACGTGCTGTTAAATATCGTCGGTTATATTCTGTAAATGCAATTGCTATTTGGAATAAACTACCAATGAGTGTGAAAACTCTGCAAAATTATCCTTTATTTAAGAGAACTATTACTCGATTTTTGCATTCAGAAAAGCTTCCTCAAATTTTGGGTTCTGAATCCACTGATCGACTCTACTGTAGCGATGGCGCTTGTGGTCTCCGAACACTATGGCCGGTCTCACCAGCTGTTCCTCAACGCCTCTACTTTGACTATCCCCAACTTCACGAAAGGAATTGACGTCCGATAATCTCCGATACCATGCAACCCCCTCCCCCCCTTCTTGACGGTCGAAAATCTACCGCCAGCAGTTTTTTTTCTCCTGAACCCTCCAAACCATAAAACCACCATCAACTATGTTTTTATTCTTCAGGAGTTTTTTTTCACTGCTGGTCGGATTTGTGTTTAATCCCTTCCCTTGACAATGCCTGTAAAATGGCATATAATAAATTAAATTAAATACTGTCTAAGGCTAAACAGAGTCTAGGGTTGTTAGGAGGTCGTCGGTCTGTCCATGCTGAAGCCTGGCCAAAATTTAAATTACAATGCCACCATAATATGGGAGCGGGGGGAGGTTTTGTTTAATGGATTTTCAATAAGTAAGCCGACGACTTTCTATATGGAGAGCGGAAAAACGAATTGGAAGTTCGTCTTTATTTTGGCAGACTGGACAAAGTCTCTACGCCTAGACAATTTTACCAGCCTACTCTGCTGCGGTATCGCTAACCTGCGACTCCTATTCCAGTTTCCGGCAAAGAAGTGCGACAGGAGGCTGGACTAGAGTCCACGTAGTTGGAAGATACTATCAGGTCTGTACGGTGATTCATCTTCCTCTTATTATACTCCCTTGTGTTTCCTTAAAATAGTCGTGGAGTCGTTAGTCAGGTGAACGGCTTTCGGCTAAAAGTTTGCGCACATGTTCTATAAATATCCAAGCCATGCGCTGAGCGCACTCACCAGGCCCTCGTGGGCGCGTCAGCGAGGGCGCCAGCATGCCTCCAGTCCTCTCGACAAACCCCTCTTAATTGACCAGGCTGGTGGGGTCGGTCGACTAGGTTATCGCGTCGCCGCAAAGTGGATTTGTGAAGGCCCGTTTTCGCCATCACACCTGTTCTCAGTCAGTGCTCTGTGTGGTAATAATAGTCTTTTAGCGTACCGAAGAGAAAACTGACAACAGGACACAGGCGATGATGACGGAGGAATGAAACACGATGAAATCTGAACTAAAGATATGACTATCACTAGGGTGTGATTGGCAATAAGTGGGGCATTCACTTGTCAGTCCTCTTCAAGCTGGCAGTAAAAGTCTAAGTTGTGCTAAGCAGGACACTTCCGTAGAGATCACGGATGTCATCAGGTTGTAAGTTGCGGTATGGAACACGCCCAGGCACACACCCACAGAGGCCTACATTTCGATCTTCGATGCGGCACCGACTGACTCAATTGTGAGCACGAATCAGGTGAAATGGTAACTGCCAGACTCTGCTCGTGTCTGCACAGTCGACGCTACCTGTGGGGGGATGGTAGGTGACCGCTGGTTCATCAACTGCAACAGAAACAGCCTCCTTCTCCTGAAGGCTTGCACAGAAATCAACCTTCGCACCCTCAGGACACATTTCCGCCTTTCGATCCGAAAGAATGCATCAAGGATGGGTATTTGCTCGCGTCGCTGACAATCTCTGGACTTCGCCCTCGTCAGGAGGCGTGACCGATGAGATGTGCTAGTGATCGAGACGATGTGTGGTGCAGACTGCCGGACGGACCAACACCTTGTCGGCGTGAAAATGAGGTTGTGACTCCAACTACGCGGACGTCCTCCAGGTAGGAAAACACCAGATAAGTTAGAGGTCTGACTACTGGATATGACTGAACGCTGATTGAATTTTAGCAGCACCACAAGACCTCAAACATGCAATTGTTGTTCATCCGTACAAACGCCAAGGAAAGCATGAGGTCTGCGGTAACCGCTACAGAACAGTCCTTATGAGCGCTGTTGGTAAGATATTTAATATATTCGTACCTCAGGGCTCCATTCTTGTCCCTATCCTCTTTCTCATCTGTATTAATGATTGCATCCATGGGTTGGACTGCGACATTGTCATGTCTGCTGATGATATAAAGCTTTGGACCGTCATCTGCAACGAGGACGATGAAGCAAATCTTCAGGTAAACTGGGACCGACTCGAACAATGGTCAGGCCACGGACTCCTCCAAATTTAATGTTACCAAATGCAAAATTCTGAGAATTGGTAGAACCGGCTCTGCGCACCGGAAGACGTACTATCTGACTCACACATCGTTACCAGTGGTAGAGGTTCAGAAGCATCTATGTGTGTGGATAACATCTTCACTACGGCCATCATTCCACTGCTTGAAAGCAGCAAAACCCGCAATGTCCAATTTATTTCTCATCAAGCGGACATTTACGAAGTTCAACGAAGAGTGCATTCGCAAGGTCTTCGGGATGTTTGTGCGCCCACAGTTAAAACTTGCCATTCAGGCATGAAGACTCTGGTCTGTTAAAGAGCATACCACCCTCGAAAATGTCCAACGAGGGGCAACCAAGCCTGTCAGAGGTCATACAAACTTACCTTACGAAACTAGATTGTCCAATCTTGACCTCTTTCCCTGGACTACAGACTACTTGGTGACTTAATTTAAACGTATCGAACGCAACGGGGTCAGGATTGCTGCCTCGCATCCGGCGACTTCTTTGAGCTGGCGACCACTACTGAAACTACATGTGACAGGGGCGAGACTGCACGCAAGGAAGTTCTTCTTCGGCCGCAGAGTGGTAAAGGCGTGTAGACGTCATTTCCCCACCCGGGACACATTTATGGGAAACTTGACCCGTACAGGGATATGTACCACCACAGCATCAGAAACTAACAAATTTTACCCCTGTACCACCCGCTCTCCAAAATATTTACGTAACGAGGCATGCTACGCCCCAAATTTAAGTAGCATTCTTCGTATGACGTTTCGTTGTCCCCTGGCCGAAGCATATGCGTTTGTGTCAATAGTACTTGGTCCATTATATGGAATGGACCAAGTACTATTGACACAAACGCATATGCTTCGGCCAGGGGACAACGAAACGTCATACGAAGAATGCTACTTAAATTTGGGGCGTAGCATGCCTCGTTACGTAAATATTTTGACTACTGCGGTTGGCTTATACAAGTGTAACATTGCACCAATACAAATATGTCTAGGATGCTAATATTATTCATCGATCACCACTAAAGCTTATAGTTTACAGTAATGGTTGGCTCACTGTCTGCCGGGGACTTAGAACCGCGTTTTTGTAAGCTGTCATACGCCCTTTTAAGGCATTTTTAAATGTCCACTCCGGCCATTGACAGTCGGAGCGCTGTCCTCGGTTCCATTGGTCAAAGACCTCTGAATTAATTTTTATAAGTTTACCTGCATAACACGGCCTACCTTGAGCACACTGTAAAGAGGCGATCCGAAGCACGACCCACTCTGCTGCCGACCATACAGCTGTATGCTTGAATTTATAAAACTATCGAAAATCAGTATGAAAAATGCATGCGACCTAAGTAGTTATTTTTTGCCGAGTGCGGTTTTTGCAGCCAGTCAAAAAGAAATACACTCATAAACCGGAATCCTCGCGAGTCCGAAATGTTATAGGATTATGTTGCATGATATTTAATATTACAAGCCCACTTAAGTAATTCCCCCTAATCGAAAACTCATTTCAGAATTTCGGCCAATTTTTCATAAGATTGGCCACGCACTGTAGAAGGTCAAGTAACAGGTAATGCTTTCGGAGAACAGCTCTTTGAATAATCCATCTATGAATGATGTATTTGTATCCCCACCGAATGTAAATAGGTATGTCATCTAGCAAAGTATTGTACTTTGGCGTTAGGAATTGTCGCTGAGGGCAGTATCCAGAGCAGCGAGATCCTCAAGGGTTTTCAGCTACGTTAACATTGGTCCAGAGGACGGAGGCGTGCTGCTGGTTGAGGACCGGGGCCTATGATTAGCTCCAACATGGTAGCATTTCGGCTGCATATTTCCGCAACGTTGCGCATGACAAGTGCACAATGTTGTGAACATAGTACACCATTTCGGCCGTTTCTATGGTGCGTTTTTTCGATTTTGAACCCAGACACTTGGTGTTATTTTACCTAACGAAGTGGAGACATCTCTGCGTGGAGGGCAGGGGTCAAGGCACCTTAACTCCTGCCACAAAGCGCCAACGTAGTATCATACGTTTGTTTTATCCGTTTACTCTTATAGATCACCATACAAATGGTTGCTCAAGTAATAGGTTGATGTGTCGTGCAGCAATTAACTTGCAACGTTACCTATTATGACTGATTCAGCAGGTTTTCAAGGTTCTGACCCGAAGAAAGTTAAGAGTTATCTAATCTTTAGCCTGACATCCGGATGAAGTTCCTGTCTGTTTAACAGTGGTATCCAGAAAAATGATCTAATCTATAGCTGCGAGGAATATGAGGGAAGGCACACGTACGTTAGTGTAAGACCCATATTTCCTAGCATAGATTAAGTTGAACGTTGTTATTAGACATTTCCTTGTATTCGTCTGATAATCTTAACAGGTTTAGGTGAGTACAGAAGGCGTATTAGGGACAGAACTGGATTTAGTAAACAGAGAAGCAGCCAATTTATAAAGAGGGGGAGTTACATCAAGAACATTGGCCCCCTGGATGAGAGGNTTTGGCGGCGGCGATGCGGTTGGCTTCGTAGATAGCAGCGCCCGTCTTCACTGTTCTCCTCCATGTCGGGCGATCGCGAGCGAGCTCTTCCCAGTTGGTCGGGTTGATTTGCAGGCGCTTCAGGGAGGACTTCAGGGTATCCTTGTAACGGCGAATTTGGCCTCCTTGACGGCGAGAACCCGTCGCGACGTCTCCGTAGAAGAGTCGTTTGGGTAGTCGCTCGTCGTCCATGCGCACCAGGTGGCCGCTCCAGCGCAGCTGCATTTGTCTCAACATGGAGTAGATGCTCAGAATTCCCGTCCGTTCCAGCACTTCGGTGTCGGGGATGCGGTCCTGCCAGTTCAGCCTCAGGATGCGGCGGAGACAGCTGAGGTGGAAGTGGTTTAGTCGACGTGCCTGCCTCGTGTACACCGTCCAGGTCTCCGCTCCGTACAGTAGCGTCGGCAGGATGACGGCCTTGTACATCTTCAGCTTTGTGCTCAGTTGGAGACCATGACGATTCCAAACTGTGCTTTGGAGGCGACCGAAGGCTTGACTGGCTTTCGAGATCCTGTTGGCGACTTCGTCGTCGATCTTGGTGTTGCGGGAGAGCGTGCTGCCCAGCTACGGTAAGTTCTCTACCACTTGCAGTTGAGTCCCATTCACGTTGATTTGCGGCGCGTTGGGGGCTGTGGCTGAGTTGGGAGGCGGCTGATGCATCACCACCGTCTTCTGCGTGTTGATAACCAGCCCAAAGTTCTCGCAGGCGGCGGAGAATAGGTCCATGCTCCGTTGCATCTCCACTTCTGAGGTGGTGTTCAGGGCGCAGTCGTCGGCGAAGAGGAGTTCGTGCACGGTGGCTGTGGATACACGCGATTGGAAGTTCATGCGCCGGCGATTCAGGAGATGACCGTCCGTTCTATAGGCGATGCGGATCCCGGGGCGTTCGTCGCGGTAGGCATCCATCAGCATGGCAGAGAACATGAGACTGAAGAGGGTAGGCGCCAGCACACAGCCCTGCTTCACTCCGTTGGTCACTGCGAATGCCTCTGAGACAGCTCCGTTGTCCGTGACTCGCGCCATCATACCGTCGTGCAGCTGACGCACCATCTGAGTGAATCGCTCCGGACAGCCGAATTTCTGCATAATCCTCCACAGTCCTTCACGATTCACCGTGTCGAAGGCTTTCGTCAGGTCCACGAAGGTAGAGTACAGGTGGGTCCGCCACCACAGTGTGGGATCCGAGCCAGGCGTTGGCGGCACGCCCAGGTGCGGCTTCGGCTGTGCCAGCCTCCAAATCTATGTTGTGTTGGTTCAAATCCTGGTTATTGTTGTGTGGACCAGGGGGTGTGGTGGAACGCCAAGGTGAGGATCCGTCCGAGCCATCCACCTGCGGCCTCCCTCGTCTCCGGTCTTCTTGACTCTGTCTTGACACCGGGCCCAGGCGGGGGAGGAGGAGAGAGTGTAGGTAGACGCTACGCAAGTCTACTGGCACTATAAACCCCTGCGTAAGTCACCGTCCCTGCTCCCACCGCTGCTGCAGCTGTGGGGCACACGGTGGACATCGTCGAAATCGACGGTCGAACTGTCACTTGGTCCATTCAGTACCGCGTACTGGTTGTTGTATAATTTTGACATAGACGGCATTCACAGACAAATTTATAATAGTAACCAATGCTTGTTGCATGTAATTGATTGCCCAATTTTCTTTGACACTTACCTTACACATTGTTTTCTATGACGTTATTGTAACCAAAAGGGAGTTCATAGCGCTCACCCACCTTTCCCTTAATAACTCTGATCTGATCTGATCATTCGCCTGATCACTCATCTGAATCAGTTAGTATTTGTAAAAGCCCGATGTGCACACTGGAAACGCTGTGGAACCACGGGCATTGTATCTGTGACCCGCAAACTGCAAAGGAAATTTCAGAAAATCTGTGTTAGTCCCTATATCGCTCTGGTGGATCTGACACAACCGAGATGGACGCTGGGAAATCATATTGAAATTTAGATGCGCGGGATGATTCACCCAGACGGTAAAACGACTACACGAAGGGATGCCGGCATGAGTCACCGAAAACGGATAGTCTCTGAAGCACTCGCAGTGACCAATGGGGTGAAGTAGGGTTGAATACTCGCTGCACCATCTTCATTCGCGTCGCCAGAGGTCCACCGTAAGGTGTGGCCCGAGGTCGACATCCACTACAGAAGTGACGGACAAATGTTCAGCATTTTTGTATGTATACATCTGCGAAAGTTTTTAAAGTCATGATCTACGACCCTTTGTTCGCTGATGACGGAAGCGAGAATACAACGAGCGTGAACCTCTTCGGCTCAGGTTGTTCGTACTTTCGACTGACCATCAACAACAGAGTTTATAGTCGTGGTGCATCCAAACGACACCAATTGCTGATAACAATGAAGCCAGTATCAAAAATACTGGCATTCGCCATACATAAATATAACAAATTCACGCATCTAGGGATCACAGTTTCAAGAAGCATTAAGATCGACTATAAAACTGCAAATCGGATTTTCAAAGTCCACCGAGGCTTCGGTCGCCTACAATAATCTGTGTAGAATCATCGCGGCATCCTCAACACAATGCTGGGAATGTACAGGAATTTTGTCTTGACTGTGCTCATATACGGGACCGAGACCTGAACAGTCTACGAAAGTCAAGCAAGAAAATCAACCGCCTTCAGGCCCGCTGACTTCGGGGAATACTGAAGCTGAAATGACGTGAAAGGATGCCAGACACCAAGGTCCAGGAGGGAACCGACGTCCTCAGTGTCTACGTCCTGTTGAAGCAGATGCAACTGTGATGGAGCATCCACATCATGATGGTGGATAACGAGTGCCTATCCACGCAATTATTCTGTAGCGGCGTTATTAGGGGTGCTAGTAGACATGTTGGACCATAGCTACGTTGCAAGCATACTTTGAATACCTCATTTAATCACTCTCAAATTAAATACGATACCTGTGAGGTTCACGCACAGAATCAGCAGGCGTGACGCTCCGCCGTACAGATCGGAGAAGCCGACTGTGAAGCCAACCTTTCGAGCTAGAAAGAGAGGCCCTTGAGTAGCGTGATTGCACTTGGCTCATTGAACAGGTAAAGAGCAGTCTGTCCAAGTCTTTGATGGCTTGAAATATCCTCACTGCGTTGTGCCAACTAACGTGAATTTTAATATTATAGGCAATGTCAATGGACTTCATTTGAGGGACATTTGGCAGACAGCAGTTTCCGAAGGCATCCTTTTTTGTCCCCCTTCATTCCGAACCATGATGTCGGCTGTGTGCCACATGGCATGGTGGATGCGGAACAGGGACATGCGCTTCAAGTGGTTCATAGTGCGGCGGACTTGCGCAACACCTGCCGCAATTCTTCCTCCCTCATCCAGCCGGGCGTAGTGGCGGGACAGCGTCAGGGTGACCAGAGTCGGGCTCGGGCTGACAGAGTTAAACAACCCATCTACGAGGGCCGCACATGACATGGTTCCCACGCGGCACAATAAGATCCCACAAAAAGAGCGACTCGGAGCTCACATAAGTGGTAGCTTCATAGACATCACATTAAGTGAGAGTCATTGGGCTTGACTCTCAGTCCTCCGGCTAGTCACCCGACATACACGCACAATAATGGCCGTGAGGACCGAGCTATCCAGTCATTTTGCAACCTTCCAAGCCACGACTTTTAGTGCGACCTTGTAGAATGAAGCACATCAGACTTATGATCAGTGAGAGAATGGCTGATGTGCAGTGGGGGCGGTTTCCCTTCCATGCAACAACTACTCATCCGCCTTCAACACTATTCCGCGCCAACTCCTCCTGACCAAAGCAGCTGCGTCCGACACTCCGAGCTGGGTTGTCTCTTGGCTTACAGATTATTTTTCCTCCCGCACTCAGTTTGTCCAGTCGGGAAAGAGAAAATCTTCTATTCTTCCAAATAATTGTGGAGTTCTACAAGGTTCCATCTTATCGCCTCATCTTTTCTCCCTACATACTGATGATTTGAGATCGCCAAACGACTGCCTGTTTGTTAAGTATGCCGATGACATGGTCGTAGGCCACCCACTCAAAAACCTGACTCATGTGAAGTCTTTAAAGGATGGCTTAGATCACCTCTCCGCATGGTCTTCGAATAATGGACTCCTAATCAACAATCAGAAATCAGTACAGTGTGTGTTTCGATTGCGACCCTCTCCCATTCCTGAACCTTTGGATATTCTTCCCAATGAGGTGTTACTTTATCCTCAAATCTCTCTTTCTCTCTTCATATGGAAACCCTTTAAACAAAAATTCAAAAACTTGTTTATTATATTCGTCGTCTACGTTCAAATCACAGACCCCAGTCCTTAATCTGGCGATTCATAGATGGCTGTATTCTTCCACTCGTTCTTTATTGTTCTCCAGTTATTTTTCCAGCTTTACTTTAAAAAGATCTAATTATTTTTAAACGTGTCATTCGAATGCTCGCCTCTGCTGCTGGTGTTTCCTATCATCTTTTAGTTGATATCATCGTGCAGCGATACTTCAACTCGGTGGAGCAATTCGCTGACCGAATTCTGAATGACACCGTCCATCCCCTTCATAATGAGTTAATGGCTGCGAAATCCTTACGCCCCATGCGTCGATGCTTCCGCCACATCCCTTGCCGCACTTCGGCCTATCGGAATTCCATACTGCCATTTCTAGCCCGGTATATCACCTGCAAAGATGTTGAAAAACAAAAAAAAAACAAAGATGTTGAAAAACTCGATCTTGCACCTTAAAGTCCTTTTTTCTTCATATATATAATCATGTCCACCTGTCCAAAACCTGTTACCCTCTATGGTACTCACTGTGTACTGGAGAACCGTTTTTGCTGAAAGTTTTGAAAGTTATTTTCAAAATAAAGCAGTGCTCTCTCTCTCTCTCAACAGTCCACTGCCCAAAACCAGTGGCCAGCCGGTGATTGAATTAGACGCTGTGGCCGACAGAACTACGATGGTCTGTCTACGTGCGCCACACACGACCTGGTCACCAAGTCATGCACCAGAACACAGCAATGAACATTCTTCCGACTTGCGTAAGAGGTGCATGTTATGAACAAGTGGCGGGTGATGTGGAGCGTTGTTATACGTGGTCTGGAGATGTGTGGGGTGGTTGGACAACGTGTGGTGATGAGGCTTCGACTGCAGTTGACTAAAGCAAGTTTTTCAGGAGGCGCATACGACCAACTTGGCCTATATGATGGCCAAATGGTCTTGGGCAGTGTGTAGGTGCGGCTATTTCGATGCGCGCGTGTTGTAACTCCCAGCACTGGTTTACAGGTCTTAGTGCTGTGGATTCGCAAATGTCCGACCAGGCAAATGCTCTATGCAAATATGTTGCAACAGTGAGGATAGAATGCAGATGTGACTGTTGAGTTGGTGGTGGCGGCGGTGGTGGTGGTGCTAGCGGCAACAGCAAGAAAAAAAGATTTGACCGAGTCCGACTGAGCACAACGACATTTTGTGCGCTCAAAATGGGACTACTTTGACGTCGATGCCACTTCGCAGTTACTGTCTCTGAGGTTGCCGCGGGAGCTGTATGTATCAAATTACTTTCTGCATCTCTGGAATTTTTTTATCGTGTGGAAAATTATAAGTGGTTTGCCTTTACGCGGAATTTGTTCTTCATCAAAACCGAACGGACTACGGGTCGATTCGCGCGCAAATATAGGCCTAGGAAAACAAATCGTTGACACACAGGAAGATCAGGAGTTATTCAGGGCATTCGATACACTCAAAACGACTGAGTCGTCCATAAATATATTTCATACCGTTTACAATTTTCCCCAAAGCGACTTTCTAATAAAAAGGTGCATTTTCTACCATTCGGTTTTAAATACTTGCCATGCTTCATCGTGTACAGTCGCAAGTATCAGTTACATTCTCGACCCTGCCTGCAAACACTATCCTAGGTACAAAAAATGACTTCTTAAGCAGTATCCATTTTTCAACTGATTTTCGATGTCATTGTAGAGCGGATTGTTTTATAGAAAACATGCACAAGAATATTCCTTCTTATACTCATTTTGAACAAAATCGCGTCTCCTTCGGAGTTTACACTTACGGAAC